GAGAGAGAGAGGAGAGGAGAGGAAGAGGAGAGGAGAGGAGAGGAGAGGAGAGGAAGAGAAGAGAAGAGAAGAGAAGAGAAGAGAAGAGAAGAGAAGAGAAGAGAAGTGAAGAGAAGCGAAGAGAGGACAGGAGAGGAGAGGAGAAGAGGAGAGAAGAGAAGAGGAGAGGAGAGGAGAGGAGAGGAGAGAGAAGAGAAGAGAAGAGAAGAGAGGAGAGGAGAGGAGAAGAGAAGAGAAGAGAAGAGAAGAGAAGAGAAGAGAAGAGAAGAGAAGAGAAGAGAAGAGGAGAGAAGAGAAGAGAAGAGAAGAGGAGAGGAGAGGAGAGGAGAGGAGAGGAGAGGAGAGAAGAGAAGAGAAGAGAACACGGGGAGGAGAGTTTTTTGGAGGCCTCGTTTGGGGCCTGAGGCGCTTTGGGGGGCGTCGTGGAAGGTTCCCTTGTCACCCCCATTGCCCGCGGTGAGGCGGCCGAGGCTTGCTGGCGCGTGCAGGGAGAAGAGGGGGAGAGGGGGAGGGGAAGGAACGCGAGCAGAAGGAAGACAGCGACACCGGAGCAAGGGGTGTGGAGGCACCAAGGAGGAGCGAACGTACCTTGAGGCGGCCACGTCTGTCAGCCCAGCCCACGCGCAAGCCTGCCTAGATAGTGAGGCAAGGCGTGAGACGGCAGACAGCGGCTCAACGCCACAGGAGTGATTTCGCTGCGGCCATCGCTGCAGCAATATTTGCTGGCGACGGCGCTGCGTGTTTCTTCATTTTGTTGTACATGTGGAAAGCAAGCGCAACCCTGCGAATCGTCTGCCGCAACGAGAGGTCGCTGGCAGGTTCGGAAGGGTACGCTGCTGCAGGGCCTAAGCCCCACGATGTATATGTGCTAAGGAGCGGAGCGGGGTCGGGGGACCAGAGGAGGCACAGGAGGACGGAGCAGGAGAGGTAGTGGGGAAAAGAATCGGGTGCGTTCGGGCAACCGAATACACACGAGCGCTGAGCTAGTACATGCATGCGGTGTGTGGTCGTCCACCCGCCGGAGGAGGAGGAGGACGAGGAGGAGGAGGAGGACGAGGAGGGGAAGGAGAAAGAGGAGGAGGAGGAACTAGAAGAAAACAGAGAAAAACAGGGAGAGGAGTTTTCTGGGGCATTGTTGGGGGTTCGGGGTTTTCATTGGGGCTTCGGGTGGTCCAAAAACTGCAACATTACCAGGGCTCGAAGATATCGTGGGAGCTCCTTGGCAACCATCGAAATCTGTGGGGGGGAGGCGGGGCATCTAGGAGTGGTCAAGGGCCTTCTGTGGGGTCTTCGACGCTCTTTCTGGGGCGTCCGACAAATTAAGCAGCGGCAAGATGTGCTGGGGCAGGAGGCTCTCTTGGGAGCTCCCAGGCAACTGCCAGAATGTGTTGGGCGGCCGAAGGCATTCTCGGGGCGGTCCTTCTTGGACAGCTCTTGGGGCCCCGTGGGCCGTCCGAGAATCTAGAAACGGCGAAAGCTGCTGGAGCCAGAGGCTCTCTTGATAGCTCCTTTGCCACTGCCGGTTCTGTCGGGAAGCTCTAGAACCCTTCGGAGTAGTCCCTCTTGAACAACTTTTGGAGCCCTCTTGGGCCATCTCGGGGCCCTCTGATTTTGATGCCCTTGGGCCGTCTCGTAGGCCTCTTGTGCCCTCTTGGGGCCAGGGTGTGGGTCTGGGGCCGTCTGGGAGCCCGGCGTGGGCCCTCTCGGGTGGCTCCTGAAGCGTCTTGGGGGACCACCAGAAGCTCTATCAAGCCGTCGGGGCGTGTCTTGGGCCATCTTGGGGCCCTGTTGGGCAGTCTTGGTGCGGTCGTCGGAGCCTTTTTGGGCTGTCTTGGGGCGATCGTAGAAGTGCCTGGAGCCGCGCGGGGCCGTTCTGATCATTGGGGGAACGTGAAACGCATCGGAAAACAGCCAGTTCATGTGTGATGTGTGGCCTTCTGGGGCCGTCATCGGGGTCCTCGTGGGCCCTCTTGGGCCGTCCCGAAGGCCTCTTGGTCCAGCTTGGGGCCAGGGTGGGGGTCTGGGGCCGTCTGGGAGCCGGCGTGGGGCCTCGTGGGCAACTCCTGAGGCGTCGTGGGAAAGCACGTGAAGCTCCGCTAGGCTCTCCAAAGCCTGTTCTGGGCCGTCCTGGGGCCCTCGTGGGTAGCATTTGTAGGCTCGGGAGGACCTCTTAGGCCATCTTGGGGAAGACCTGGAACCTCGCGGTGCCGTTCTGGGCCCATCATAGGGAACGCGTGAGAAACATCGGCAAACAGATAGCTGCTGCTTGATTGTTTACATCGTGGGGTCGCCATCAGAGTCTTCGTGGGCCCTCTTGGGCAATCCTGGGGCTTCCCATCTTGGGACCAGGGTGGATGTCTGGGGCCGTGGGAGCCTGGTTTGGGACCTCTTGGACAGCTCATGGTGCGCATGGGGGTGGGCCCTTGAAGCTCTGCTAGGCTCTCCGAAGCCTGTTCAATACAGATTTGGGGCTCTCGTGTGCTGTTCTGGTGGAATCGTGAGGGCCTGCTGGGCCAGACTGGTGCGATTCTGGAAAGGCCCGGAGGCGTGCGGAGCCGTTCCGGGGCGAAGCTACGACCCTCGGAAACGCCATACACCCTGCGAAATGCTTAAGAAATCATGGGTTAAGAAATTCATAGTCTCAGAACTTGAATAAAAACCCAAAATTTCTATCAAAATCTTGGGATTTACATTGAAACATTAAGAATAATCGAGACTCTGGTCGAAAACTTAAGTTTTCTTAAGCATCGCCTAAGGTGCACACGAACCCAGGAACACACGCCAACCCCAGAAGCTTGAACATCCGAACCCCGGGAGCCGTCGACACCACCACCGCCAGAACTGCCAAAGACCCGCCCCACGGCCCAGGAGGCGCGACCCTCTGAGGCCGAGAGCACTCTTTCCTGCTCGCGCCCCCGCTCCCCGCGCCTTGTCTCCTCCTCCTCCTCCTCCTCCTCCTCCTCCTCCTCCTCCTCCTCCTCCTCCTCCTCCTCCTCCTCCCCCTCCTCTTCCTCCTCCTCGCCTCCTTCTTCTACCCTA